CAAAAGTACATCCATCCAGTAAATGAAACTGACCATGTTTATCAATGTTTAGTGCTGTGACCACAGATATTTTCAAGCAAATAATATTTGGTGCGGAACTGGGGATGGTGCATTCAGCTTCCTGCACTCGGAAAAGGAACTGCCTAAGCTAGTCCGATTTTTAAAGTTTTTTTTGCTGTTTTAAGGCCAGACTGTGCACACATGTACATGTAATACCTGTTGAAAGCCTAGTTATTTAAAAAAAGTATAACGTTACTGTAAAAGTCTATAGGAAAACAGCCTGTGAAGATCCGGGGTAGAATAGGTCTTCAGCAGCCCATGCTTGCCATAAAAGGTGACTATGCTTGTCATAATAGGCGACTAACAGGATCGGGTGGTCAGGCTCGCTGACTTGGTTGATGCATGTCATCGATCCCAATTGTGTGGATCAATGCTCATGATATTAATCACTGGATTGTCTGGTCTGGACTCGATTATTTCCAGACCACCGTCATATAGCTGGAATATTGCTGAGTGCGGCGTTAAACAACAAACCAACCAACCAACTATAGGAAAACATTTGGTTGTGTGTAACCTGTAGGTGAGTGCACATTTCAGTAATTCATACTTCATAGTCTTTCCTGTTTATATTTGACCATGGATTCATATTGCCACGAATGTAGAGGCAAATTAAAAAAAAATAATGAAACTGAAGCTAGGGACAATTTGGGTTGAAGGCACCTGTTGGGTGGCCTGGATATTTGGGCTGGGACGGTTAACTCGGGTACCCGGGTTGGGTGGGTACTGAGCAGGACCCGGATACCCAAAGGACTACCCGGACCTGTGGTTAGTCACGTGATATATTGTTTAATGACAAAAATTATCTGGAACTCTATGGTTACACTACAAGTCACTTATGTTCACATTTCTCTCTGACTATGAATGCATTCCTTCTGACTTTTCATATGGTTGAATGAAGATATAACTTAAGTCAACTTCAGTGTATGCATGACCAGACTGTTTCATACATTTATCTACATACCTTTTGCCAGGGATATGACAAAAACAATTTCCAATCAGACATTTTGTACCTATCTCTTGAGACAGATCTCCTATCTACAGTGGGTACCCTGGTAGGGTCGGGTAACAGGGGGGTGAGTACCCGGGTGAGTGCCCTACTAGATATGAACATTGCTTTGTTCTGTGGTCAAATACAGCACCTAAGGATGGCTCTGTCCATCAAGTCCTGACCCTCTCCCTTCTGAATTTGTGGAAACTGATGAATTTGATGAATTTGACAACAAATTAGGATAAGACACCACTGCCACAACAATTTGTGTGTCTGTGATAATCACCTGCCAATCAAGTCATGTGATGCCGATATCAGGAGTATGGAGCATGGACACAGCAGACAGCATAGAAGTCACAAGCCCTCCTATTTAATGTAAACAATGTTGCACACCATCACTTCTTTCTGTTTGGTTTTTTTTTTGTGTATGGATGATCCTATTTGTTTGCCTCAACAACACTCTCCTGACCTTTATGTCCTTAATGATTTGACATTTAAATATTGTCTCCACACTGTTTTCAGCTGCACTCATGTAGAAGAAACAGAAGCTGTCACATTCAATGTGGAATTTGGACAAACCGATCTGAAGTCTGGTGTTGGCAGTGTATGATCAACAACCCTTGTTTTGCCTCACTCCCCTCGACCACCTTGTAGAAGTTGTGGTACTTGGACATGTTGGTACATTTAGCACATAGAAGTCCTTCTGTCCAGTTAAGGCACCTCTGTTGCTCACTAGCAAGTTCCATCATAAAATCACCCTCATACATTAGGAATTTCTGCCTCAACCCTTACTTTATACTGTCTGGCTAAGTTCATTATCCAGCCTCATATAGGAGAGGACCCTGTTTTTATGAAATATGAATAAACTCCCATGGTCTGTGTATGATCATAGAAACTTCTCTATTAATACAGAAGTACATTTGATAACACATTGATGAGTCTTTGTATACTGGTGCCATATAGATATGTTGGATAGGAAAAAGAATTGAAGTTTAACCCACTTTTTATTTTTTTCTGACATATCTATCTTTTAATTATGTTGTCAGTATACAACAGAAAGGGAAGAGCGCTGAATTCCTCTGCCTTTGTCACTGGCTCTTCATAACCTGCACACTCAAACAAAGGATGTTCTTCCTTATTGTTACGCTGTAACAAAGGTACTGTCTTGGGGTGGTGTACTGTCTCAAGGTGGCGTACTGTCTCAAGGTGGCATACTGTCTCGAGGTGGTGTACTGTCTCGACGTGGCATACTGTCTCGAAGTGGCATACTGTCTCGAGGTGGCGTACTGTCTCGAGGTGGTGTACTGTCTCGAGGTGGTGTACTGTCTCGAGGTGGTGTACTGTCTCGAGGTGGTGTACTGTCTCGAGGTGGTGTACTGTCTCGAGGTGGCATACTGTCTCGAGGTGGTGTACTGTCTCGAGGTGGCATACTGTCTCGAAGTGGCATACTGTCTCGAGGTGGTGTACTGTCTCGAGGTGGTGTACTGTCTCGAGGTGGTGTACTGTCTCGAGGTGGTGTACTGTCTCGAGGTGGTGTACTGTCTCAAGGTGGCGTACTGTCTTGAGGTGGCATACTGTCTCGAAGTGGCGAACTGTCTCGAAGTGGCGTACTGTCTCAAGGTGGCGTACTGTCTTGAGGTGGCGTACTGTCTTGGGGTGGCATACTGTCTCGAAGTGGCGTACTGTCTTGACGTGGCGAACTGTCTTGACGTGGCGTACTGTCTCGAGGTGGCATACTGTCTTGAGGTGGCATACTGTCTCGAAGTGGCGTACTGTCTCGAGGTGGCGTACTGTCTCAAGGTGGCATACTGTCTCAAGGTGGCATACTGTCTCAAGGTGGCGTACTGTCTCGGGGTGGCGTACTGTCTTGAAGCGGTGAACTGTCTTGACGTGGCGAACTGTCTTGACGTGGCGTACTGTCTCGAGGTGGCATACTGTCTCGAGGTGGCATACTGTCTCGAGGTGGCGTACTGTCTTGACGTGGCATACTGTCTGGAGTCGGCATACTGTCTTGGGGTGGGGTACTGTCTTGACGTGGCATACTGTCTTGGGGTGGCATACTGTCTTGAGGTGGCGTACTGTCTTGACGTGGCGAACTGTCTTGACGTGGCATACTGTCTGGAGTCGGCATACTGTCTTGACGTGGCATACTGTCTGGAGTCGGCATACTGTCTTGAGGTGGCGTACTGTCTCGACGTGGCATACTGTCTGGAGTCGGCATACTGTCTTGACGTGGCATACTGTCTGGAGTCGGCATACTGTCTTGACGTGGCATACTGTCTGGAGTCGGCATACTGTCTTGAGGTGGCGTACTGTCTCGACGTGGCATACTGTCTCGAGGTGGCATACTGTCTTGGGGTGGCATACTGTCTCGAGGTGGCGTACTGTCTTGACGTGGCATACTGTCTCAAGGTGGCATACTGTCTTGGGGTGGCATACTGTCTTGAGGTGGCGTACTGTCTTGACGTGGCATACTGTCTTGGGGTGGCATACTGTCTCGAGGTGGCGTACTGTCTTGACGTGGCATACTGTCTCAAGGTGGCATATTGTCTTGGGGTGGCATACTGTCTTGAGGTGGCGTACTGTCTTGAGGTGGCATACTGTCTTGGGGTGGCATACTGTCTTGAGGTGGCGTACTGTCTCGAGGTGGCATACTGTCTTGGGGTGGCATACTGTCTCGAGGTGGCGTACTGTCTTGACGTGGCATACTGTCTCAAGGTGGCATATTGTCTTGGGGTGGCATACTGTCTCAAGGTGGCGTACTGTCTTTACGTGGCATACTGTCTCGAGGTGGCGTACTGTCTCGAGGTGGCATACTGTCTCGAGGTGGCGTACTGTCTCGAGGTGGCATACTGTCTTGAGGTGGCGAACTGTCTTGACGTGGCATACTGTCTCGAGGTGATGTACTGTCTTGAGGTGATGTACTGTCTTGAGGTGGCGTACTGTCTTGAGGTGATGTACTGTCTTGAGGTGGCGTACTGTCTTGAGGTGATGTACTGTCTTGAGGTGGCATACTGTCTTGAGGTGATGTACTGTCTCAAGACGGCATTCTGTCTTGACGTGGCGTACTGTCTTGAGGTTGCATACTGCCTCGAGGTGGCATACTTACTCCTCCTCTGGAGTCAGGTAGCCCTGATGAGACGCATATGGCGCATGTTTTTTCTCATGATACGTGTTAAGACGGGGATTTGCAAGACTCGAGATTCTTGCTAATGACATTTATTTTGTCATGTGTGTTTCCTGAACTCAGTGGAGGAATATTTTTCAGGAGGAGACACTTTATCCGACTTTATCCTTTTCTTAGTTGTAGTTAGTAGGGTAGACTATCTTGCCGACAATCTAGTACTCCTAGATGTTTCCGGGTTAGTACCCAAGCTTCCAAAATATACTCCTCCAAAGATACATGTTTTGCATGCTTGGCATATAGGGTGGGGACTTCTGATCAGTTGATCAATGCTGCATACCGAACACACGTGGATGGCGATGGAGAGGGACTCTAACCTAACTATTCATGACAATGATCTTGCTTCTTATACTCCCGTAACTTGTCTGTACTTGTCTTTAAGATAATCACAAGAAGTTACAGTGTGAAATAACACAAAACAAATGTGTTTAGATGAGATAAAAAGTTTTGGCTTGTATACATCTGGACACACACGAAAGAATTGTCATTTTACCCCCTCACACAATCGCAGTTTCATCGGTGTGGAGGATAGGGTTTGCCTCACAACTATTACATATGTTGGCAGTGAAGAGGACGTCTGTTTTAAAATCTAAAGACTACAACCAAAACAGGAATTTATGGCTATGATGTAATAGAGTTAAGGTGTTCAAAGGAATTATGGGCTTCACACATTGTATCCATGTTGGGATGAAAGCCAGGCCTTCTGCATGACGAACAAATGCTTTAACCAGAAGGCTACCCCACCACCTCCAGATGTAAACAACTTACCACGGTCAGACAAAGTAGTTCCCTGCTAAAGAAGTCCAAGTTTCTCTTCTCTAGGTTATCGAGGTAGCTCTGTAATCGGGTGTAGGAATATGGGTAACAGTAGCCAAACTGGTAGACATCATCCTCTCGGTCAAAGTTGAAAGCGAAGGACATGACATAATTCTTTCGATGGTCTGGGCAGCGATAATAATATACATGTTTGGCCGGGATTCTCACCCTGAGAAAAGACAAGACATTTATTGATTTAGCCACTGAACAAAAGTACAGATTAGTTAAATAAAAACATTTATTATAAAAGCTGACTTAAAACATTTTCTAAGGTGAATAAAAATCTTAATAATTTTTTGAATTTATAATGCAGAAATAACAGAAATGTGAAGATCAAAGTGATTGAGAACAAAGGATTATTCAGTCGTTTGAAAGGCATTTCTAAGAAGTTGACGAGTGACAAAGAAGACACAAGTTATGGATAACAACTTCTTTATTCTACTGTAATGGCGACATTTTGGTATAGATCCTTTTACTGATGTCAAGCAAGGTTTGCCTTGCTTGACAACGGTATAAGGATCTATACCAAAGTTGTCATTCATAAATTGTGTCCACTTTCTGATTATTCAGTCCATGCAAAAAACACCAGAAATAGGCTTCACACATTAAAAGTTTAAGAGGATCTTTGATAGTTGAGGTGAGGTTAAATGGGTTTTAATGTCACGATAAAGATTATTGCACTTATATAGCAACCTGCATGCACGTGTGTGGCTGCATGTATTAGTCTGGACTTATGGCAGTTTTATAGTGCTAGCCCACTGAGATACCATGCCGCAGTTTAATATGAATACCCTACTCAGACACAGTATACTGACTCTGAGTCCATCAGCCCTTGTTTTAGTCCCTTACTTGAGCACCAGGCAGGGTAATAACAAGTACCATCTTTTAACATCTTTTTGTATGACACGGCTGGAGAAGGGACCCGAATCTTCCGCTCTCCGGCCAGATGCTTTATCCATTAAAACACTGAGGTAGTTGGTCCTTTGATAGAGATTGCTTGTTTGGAATGACACAGCTCCTTGTTAATAAGATAATTGTGTTAGTCGAATACTTACCACTTTGGCCTGCTTGTTGATTTGACAAGAGGTGACATTCCATCCCGATACAGGGACTTGGTCTTACTAAAGTTGACAATGTTGAAGATAACACGCTGAAATGAAAAAGTGAATAACTGCAAGAAATGTTGGCGTGAAAAACAAGAGCAGATGCAGCACTAGGGCAGTAAGAGTAGATCTGCTGCTTTATTGCAGGCTTGATATTACTGCATCCAACAATATCACAATCAAACACAACATGCCCACAATGAGATGACAGTTATGTACATACTAAACACAGAAGGTTTACTTCAGGGCACCGATGGCACAGCCGGCTTACTCAGCTAGGGTCTGTATATGGGTTCTGCCGGCTTACTCAGCTAGGGTCTGTATATGGGTTCTGCCGGCTTACTCAGCTAGGGTCTGTATATGGGTTCTGCCGGCTTACTCAGCTAGAGTCTGTATATGGGTTCTGCCGGCTTACTCAGCTAGGGTCTGTATATGGGTTCTGCCGGCTTACTCAGCTAGGGTCTGTATATGGGTTCTGCCGGCTTACTCAGCTAGGGTCTGTATATGGGTTCTGCCGGCTTACTCAGCTAGGGTCTGTATATGAGTTCTGCCGGCTTACTCAGCTAGGGTCTGTATATGGGTTCTGCCGGCTTACTCAGCTAGGGTCTGTATATGGGTTCTGCCGGCTTACTCAACTAGGGTCTGTATATGGGTTCTGCCGGCTTACTCAGCTAGGGTCTGTATATGGGTTCTGCCGGCTTACTCAGCTAGGGTCTGTATATGGGTTCTGCCGGCTTACTCAGCTAGGGTCTGTATATGGGTTCTGACGTGAAATGATATCAAATTTCGAATTATGTCCTAATGTGAAAAAAAGATTACTACTACCATTGCAGACTCATAAAAAGACCCAGGTCAGCATGATCTTTCTTCACCAATATTTTTCTAGAATTCGTTTCCGAGGCAAAGTGAATCAATCTACTCCATAAAATCTAGTAAAATCTAATTATCTTTTACATTTGTATACTTATCCTGCATTACTCTTAAATACATTTACTGCTTTCTTTTGACAGAAAACCGATGCTACGGGGGTCCAACTGAAGAGTGAGAGAGTGAGTGAGTATGGTTTTACGCCGCTTTTAGCAATATTCACACATTGTACCCATGTTGGGAATCAAACCCCGGCCTTCGGCGTGACGAGCCAATGCTTTAACCACAAGCTACCCGACCGCCCCTCTAGCTGAAGAAGAAGTTGATCCAATCAGTTTTGTGGCAGACCCCATCACATAGCGCAAACGGCCACAGAAGTGATGACATCATGTATCTTCACATTACTGCTTGATTGTACCATCTGAAGACATCGTGAAGAGGCAGCTCTGTGATGGGGGGGGGGGGGGGGGACTGCATTACTCCTTAATGCATCTGAATTGGACGGTGGGCATACCTTCAGATGAGATCCTCAGGAAAGACGAAGATGTCTAGGCAACTGGCAGGCACATCCCGTGTGCAGGTCGGCAACCAGTAGACCAAACATGTCTGAGGAAAGAACGAGAGTTTGAGGAAGTCGAGGTGAAAGGCAACCAGAGAAAATAGCATATGCTACAGTCTAAGTACTGACTTATCAAGCCAGTGCTTGTAGCATAAGGACCTCCCTATCTGGTGTACGAACACTGCAAGAGTTGGTAAGGCTGGCTCTGGACAGATGGAGATGCTAATGGCATCTGGCATTGTGTAAGCCTTCGACGTCTTCCAAGGCCACATCCCGCAGGTCCCTCAGGCAAAAACCCTTCCTTGATGGATCTTGTGGAACAATTGCTGTTGGGAGCCTTCACAGAAGTGACCGCCCTGATCTCGTGAGGATTGTTGGCCCTCGGGGGATTAAGGCCAGTGGCCTCATAAGCCTTTAGGATGACTGCTCATAACCACAGGGACATGGTGTTAAGTCTGACTTCTGTCAGGGATGTCAAGGAGATGGGAATGAAAAGCCATTTCTGGGCACCACGTTGAGTCTTAGAAAGGCAGTGAAAAACCCAAAGTGCACAAACTGGGCACTGAGGTCCTCCTCATCTTCATTACCCACAATCAAGGAGAGGTGATGGTGAAGGACCTGTCAGACTGTCCTGGGAGTTGATTCTTGGCAATGAAGTCCCAGCACAGCCCAAGGTGAACCGTTCCCTGCGCCCAAAACAGACCTGGGTGATGTCAAGTGTGTGCAGCTCACTAAACATTGCTGCCATAGCTAGAGCCAAGGGAAACACTGTCTTCTTGGTGTGGTTAAAGAGGAGGCTGAGTGGAGAGGCTCAAATCGAAGACCAAGCTGAAATCTAAGAACCATGTTCAGATCCCAAGCAGTTCCGGAATCTTGGTCATTTTACGATCCTCCAGAACTGCCAGAACTGCCAACACTGAGTTAATGGCCACCAGGTAGGTAGTGATGGTGCTGCCCTTGAGATGTTGCTTGCTGTGCTGGAACAGAAGGAATTCAGCCAAGAACTGAGGAGACACTGAAGTGGGATCCTGATGTTTCTGTTTACAAAAGGAATCAAAGGAATGCCACTTGTCACCCTAGAGTCCCCGATTTAGAGGGCCTGTGCACCATGGCTGTGGCTTTAGCTGCTATCGTAGCAAAGGGCGTGGACAAGGAAAGTCCCAAGGAAACTTCCAGCCTCCCCTGGACAAGTACCAGGGCAAGAGTGGGGAGAACAAGGGTCCACTACAACTCTCAGTGTGGCCGAACCTCCTCATCACTAGGGCGTCATCTTGAAAAGGCTTTAGGTTCTCGGCTAGAGCAGCAAAAGACACAGTCATGGCGCACAGGCCTTCTAATCAGGGACTCATGATGAAGAGTGGCTTTCCCGAGGAAACATCTTAAGACTGCCTTGGCCAAGATCACCACCACACACCGACTCAGTTATTTGGCCATCTCATCTCTAGCATAACTGGAGACATGGGAATGCGTTTTGGAGATCTGGCTGTTAAACAATGAGGTTGCCTGCACTCTTGCTGGTTCTGGTTGGAGATGAGAAACACATAAAGAATATATGGATGGCCTAAGATTCTTTAGATGTGTCAGAAACCCATCCCCGTTTCATTCTGATTATGTTTCCAGGTTTGTGCTCATGCTTGTGTGGATTTCACCCATATGTGAACATATGTGAAATATGTCCAACAACAAGTTGACATGAACACACGTAGGTGCTTAGGAACCTAGAAACAGTATCAAGGCAATCAGGATTCAAACCCACAATCAAAGGTTTCTTGCATGCCTAAGGCAGCAATTGCAGTGCCTAAGAAAACTGGGCCACTCTTTACCCCTGGAAATACTACAATTCCATAACCGTAATGCCTCACCTGGTCCGACCGCACATTCTCCACGGTAAAATTGAACCAAACTCGGAACCGTGGGTTGCAGGTGTCCGGTCGTATAAACAAGTCATACTCATGCTCTGTGATGTAATCTACCCGCCCTAGATTTCCTGAAAACAGTGAACAAACTGTACAGAAAAACAGAATTAAACAATAACATACACATCATATAACATATACATGATACCACATAAAGCATGGGAAAAGTGTAAATTGACCTGTAGTTTAACACAATTAAAATTCATAAGTTCATTGGTCATTTCATCTTATAGCTTAACATCATTCTCATTACAATCACACCTATTACCATGATACCTCCCTGAGCCAAGATCTGTTGACACCTCCCAAGGATGTCAGGTCAGGTGAAACCTGAGATAACATTGACTTCCCAATCTCATTAAAATCAGATCTTAGTTCTCGCTACCGCCACACAAAGATCTGAGAACATCCCTTTACGGGTCAAGTCAGACCATCCTTGCCCAACCAATGGAATGACCAATCAGAAGCCAGCTTTCTCGTGCTTTACGGCACTAATTTCAAATTGGCGATTACGCTTCGAAACATATTTTGACAAATTCTCGATTACAAATTTGAAACCGGAACAAAAGAACATTCTGGAATGGCTAATAGATAGTCTAGATTGTATGGATTCAGTCGTTAAACCCGTAACTATCGTTCAGAATACCCCGTGTTAAAGTTTTCGAGGTTGCGTGATCAGAAATCAAATTTCGACTGTCAATTTCATGATCTGGTAAGTGACGCTCTGATTGGTTGGATGAAAGGTCGTCAGATCTTTGTTGAGCGGTTGCGAGAACTAAGGTCTGATTTGAATGAGATTGATTGACTTCCCAATCTAAATGAAGGGTGTGTGGGTTCTTTAGCCAATCGGATGTCATCTTTCTAAAATGATTCAGCTTCACTTCTTAGCCTCAATTCAGAAATTTTGATTTGTACAACGACAAAAAAAACACAGAACACAAATAGGCTATTCCTTTGATGGTACACCATCATGCTCAGAAATGACAGGGTGATCAAAATGAAAATATCCACAATTATGATACGGTGCAGCCTGAATATATTACATTCAAAGATGGTCATTTCAGCTTGTTTTCGAGATACAGGAATCAGATAGGCTGGTCTGAATGCTTAGCTCACTCGTATAGAGAGTTTAGAATCCTCAAAGCTGATTGACACAACCAGTGCAGCAGTCCTAACCATTGAGGCATCATGATATATACTATTCAAAAGAAGTTAAGGAACACCTAATTAACTAAAGTAATATGACAGAATTGGGTGTTCTTTAAGTTCTTTTGAGTAGTATACGATCAGCGAAGTCACAGTGACCACCTGATCAATTTAGTTTTACGTCAAGTAAAGGTTACTGGGGACCAATTCTAAACCAGAAACCCATGGAGACTTGCACTGAAAACATTCAAGCAGACTGCGGTCTCCATAACCCTTCAGTCTCACAAACAACTATACAAAAACAATTCAATAACTTCTAAACTGGAATCTTTAAAAAAATCATAAAACAAAACTCATGAAGTCATAGTGCATAAGCAACTGCCATATCCTTGAACCTATTGTACATATGAAAAATGATACACAGCAACAGAGCAATAAATAACTGTCCAATTTTCAAAAGATATCTGCAAGAATTTTAATGCCACACTGCCAATGATAAAAGAAAAGTCTGATATGACCTGATGAAAATCCCAAGATGCAAAATTACTATTTGCTTTAGAAAATTGGATCAATAGTATATCCGAAGTTAAGGTCTAAACATAAAAATCTAACAAAAAGACAGGAAGTGCATCAGTTCCTGATGCCAAGGGAGATTTATTTCATCAGTGTTGAGAATCTTGTATTGTTACATTCTAATGGAAAACAAAAACAGAATTTTCTCAAGCTGCTGGCGTGGGTGGCTGGATCTCCGCCTTCCACGGGATACACTCTCTATGTTTGATGGAAGAGGAGAGTTATAGAGCTTTATAGTTTGTTTGACAAGAGTTGATTACAGTGTATATCTAGCGAGAGGATAAAAACCATGATAGATATTATTAGGGGTGGCAATCGTTATTGATAATAGAGATTGATACTCGCTAACTAAATACCGATCAATTACCGACAAATATTGAAGAAGTAACTTCAAGCAAACATGCAAGGAAGTCACGAAAGAAATCAACATACATTTGTACATGTATCTCACACCACGGGTGTGCAGAGACACATTTATACATAGATTACTTTGTGGACATTTGAGATAATAAAAAAACCAGTTGCTTTCCGTCTTTGACAATTGACATGATTGACAATAACAAGTCTGTATCGATAAATCTAAACTTTATTTCATCACAATGGTTTATGTAAGTTATTATCGATGACAACAATTTCATATCAAGAATCATTAATTTTCTTCCCGTCAACGATAATTCCAATGGGGCTGGGACAATACAGCAACTGTGCTATAATACGTATTATGATACCATGGTCGCTGGGACAATACACCAACTGTGCTATAATACGTATTATGATACCATGGTCGCGATCCCGTATGCATCACAATACTTGCATGTGCTCTTATCTGTGGAGTGTAAGCCATCTTTTTTATAACAAGATGGACAAATACCTGGCACACTGATGATTTACTGTTGACAGTGTCAGGTATGGCACAATGGATGAAAATATTTATGTTTTCATGATTAATTTTCCCTACTAATTAGTGTATTGCGTAACAGTTAATAAAGACAACATTCAAGGTAAGGATCGATATGTTTTAGTTAGTGTGCGACTGTGATTGATTGATTGATACTTGTATCGAGCAGTAAAAAACTGACATCCTCTGATGCATCGTCCCACTACTACTCATAATAGTGCTAGCCAAATGAGACACATTATACTGACTCTGAGCACATTAGGTGGTTATGATGATGATGATGATAATAATGATTTATAGTTCACAAAATAACATTTACTCAAATGAGAGGATGTGAACATTTAAAACATATATTTCAGAAATAACTCAACCCTTTCATGTTTCCACACTTAACAAAATTACATGCCACATGATCAGTGAGGCCTTCAGCAAGGGCCAGTATTCAATTTCCTTCAATGGAGACGCCCTACTTTAAATTCTGCGTCACTTTTATTTCCACAATCATAATGGCATGATATCCTGAGAAATATACCAATTAATCAGTCTAATCAATGTATGTTTGGCACCGAGCCATTCAGGATACAGGGCTCCAATTCAGTTCCTTTTCCAATGCACTGACTGATTGTCAAACAAAATGCTCTAAAGTTGTTGTTTTTAAATATGATAACAATATAGAAAAATGTCCTATTAATACTTGCAAACTCTTGAAAATGTCCTAATGACATTTGTATCAAGCAAAATTACCTCAATCAATTTTTGGTTGAAGATTTCTTAAATACGACCCTGAATTCTCTATAGTAGGAGTATATATAACACTTATGGGATATAAACACGCTGACTTTACAAATGAAATGAAAGTTCTTTACATACTTCTTAATCACATCATTTTATGTTATTGGAGATAATGAAGCAGAAAGAAAGCAAATACCATTCATTATCCATCAATAATCATTAGTAGTCACCTGTAGTGATGATTGGTCATGATTTCTGATTTGTTTAAACATATGAAAATTGAATGAGATTAATTAGCTGATTAGTACAGGACCATATGTAGTCGTTACTGGCCTCATTTCAATTCTGCTTCCACTGGGTATGACACCTCAATCCTTTCACAAGACATGGAGTGTGAACAACTCATTTCCCTTTATTCCCTAAGGGGGCCAATAAAAATTAGTCCACTTATTCAGATGAATGGGTCTTTAAGATGACTGTCAGCAACAACTTGAACACCATATGACTGCACTGATTATGGGTGGTGACATATGTTGTATTGTCTATAGTAATAATGAAAAGAGGTATAATTAAACATTTGAACACTATATAATATGTATATTGATAATAAGGTTGTGATACGAACTAAGGTAAATATATGTAAAACTTCTTAAGTTAAGGAAACCTAATCCTTCTTCACAAGGAAATCACTAGTCACCAAACCAAAATAAATTCAGTGAACTAGAGTCAAATTAACAATGACTTGGGAACTATCAGAAACTGGTGTTTTAACATTCATTTTCTCTTAGTACATATCATCCTTAAAACAGGTACATGACTTTACAATATGATACAAAATATCCCAATGCACCAATATTTAGGAAATATTACTAGGTGTGTAAAGATTATCCGAACATTTTATGCATCACAATACTCTGTGCCACAAAAGAAGTATTGCATCAGAAAACTATGTATCGATACCAAACGATACACATACATATAAGGGTGACCAATACAACTTAATGAAAATTAATTGCAAAAATACAAAAATTATATTTCCTGCCAGTATGTACAAGACTTTTCCAGCCATTTTTTGATTATATAACTCAAACCTACTAAATAATAGAGGTGTAACGGTACGTGATACAATACATATCCCAATACTATGAGTGCAATAAGATTTGTATCCCAAGACAGTACTTCCTTTTCACAAGTTGATATTCTTTCTCTTTTCAGGTGAATCACAATCCTGTATCATTTGTTATTACATTTCAGAGATCAAAGATGGGATATTGTTGGGCAGAAACATATTGGTAGAGGGCGCTGTGAATGTTATGTCATTTATGTCCAAACATGAAATACTAGAGCAATTACGTAAGCTGGTGGTTGAACAGTTTCTCTTATTATTCACGTTTTAACACCAATATAACTTGAAATGATACTTGATATGTATCACGATACAGTGATCGTAAATTGATGTTTTGGATCATGGGCCTCTTATCACGATACAATACCGTATCACCATATCCTTACACCACTACTAAATATGGTTTGGTCACGTTTATTTTCAATATCTGATGATGATGGGATATGTCTCTTAACATGCATCCCTGATTCACTAGTGTACTACTTTTCCATTCCATTTTGAAATAAACAATGGACCCAGTCACAACAAGAGTTTTGTTTTGGAAGTGAGGTATCTGGCTCTCATCTCGAACTTAGCACAGAATTTCCATCACTTGCAAGAGTAGTTCAATTGGACATAGTTTTTAGTGTTGTGCCATTCAACTGGGCTCAAAACATGTTATGTGTCAAGTTTTCATTTTTCATATTGTGTATTATATTATGATCTTATTATTAATATATGTATGGTCTTGCGACAAAAAGTCCCATTACAGACCTACTCATTATAGCACTAGTAAGGAAAGAAAGAGGCTTACCACTTTCAAAACATGCATCAAATATGAGATGTCCTTTCTTTGGTTTTCCACTGTAGCCTGGTGGGACAACTGCAAATTTGTTGACATTTCCAACAACCGGTTCTTCAGTGCTATCAGAATCACTTCCTAGTCAACAACATAAACAAACCTTTCAATGTCATCAAATATGCCATGATAGAATGTATGCACATAGATGATCTACCTGTGATTTTTATGTATGTTCTTTTGAACGTATTTTGATTAAAATCTATATGAGGTACAGATATTGTAATTCAACAAATTAATGTATGCTCTTCTTCAGCCATAAACCAGCATTGTGTACATTTTAATTGTAAACAACTTTGACTAAAGCCAAATAATGGTGTGAAATTCTGGGTCCAAATCCTGCTGTTTTCCATTACGGTGGCTTAAAAAGCAATCTCTATTTTGCAATTAATCTGTAGCAGATAGGCTATATGAATTTAGGCTTATTTTTTTATTCGTGATTAAATATTCGTTGTTTTATGAAAATTTCATAATTATGCATATAGTGGTTCACAGTACACCCATTGACTTAACTTACAATTATAATGACATCAACTATGCACACATCGTTGTAGTTTTTCATTTATGCATATCATTTTGTTTTAACTGTCGCTTTCCTGTTTCCAACGTCATTATCCAAACAAATTATCAAATGACATCTTTCCTCGAAATAACTTTTTTTTTTAATTTGAATTGTAAATCGTTGCTTTCATGGAATTTGGAAATTGGAAAAGTTGTTAATTATTGCACATCGATATCTAACATTTTATGCACTTTAATTCGGTCAAACGTCACTAGAACCCAAAGCTCGCGGTACTAGGCAACTGTAAACAAACCTGAATCCCCTCGCTTGTCAGCCATGTTGGTTATTTTAAGCTATGTGGGCATGCGCGAATAATAACGGAACTGGTTTGCCGTTCTGGTGTTTCAATTGGCTAATGTATTGCAACTGTAGAAACTGTCCAATCACTGCTTTGTGCGTTTCAACTGGTCTGTCAAGTAACTAGTAACTGGATTTAGAATTCAATGATTTGAGTGTGACGTCAAGAAAGACGGACCCTGCAGCCGTGCATAAAATGACTGTGCTTTAATTTGAATTAGCACGGTGTATGAATTCCCGTAGATCTGAAAGAAGGAGCTTCATATTATGCCGAACAGATCAATAAAACATTAGCCCCCATACATAAAATTCTACCACCAGCACTATTCCCATGAGTATTCCCGCCACCTTAACGGCTCGCACTTGTTTATATCACGCCGCTGAATAAAATAGTCCCAATAACAAAATAGTAATTTATTGTGAACATAGTAATTTAAGTAGTTGTTTTTGTCCTGACATGACTGATATCGTATGTCTGTTAGCATAGTATAACAGAAATTAGTACAGTAGCCCAAAGTTACACAATTCATTTTTATTGACAGATCGATCTCAGTGACGTAGTATAAATGCGCCATGTAGTAACAGACCGATCTTTGCTGGTTATGTTCTTGTTAGTAGCTGTGGTGTGGAAATTTGGTTACGTTTTCAATTTATTTCAGTGACATTTTCTTAAATTTAATTTATCTTGTTTGATGTAGAAGTGTTAAATTTCAATTTGAAGAAACTGTCATTCTTTGAATATCATTTTGTAACAAAACTGGAGTATTTCTTCACGGAGCCAAAGCCGCCAATATTTCACATCTTCCAAAGTGCGTTCACGCGCACTTCGAGACTGCTGTTATTTTATTGCACAAACTCCGATATAATTCAAGGATTATACATTTCTAAGGTAGGTGAAATTCCATGTACCGTTGTCATAAACTGTTTATCTAACGTGTGTAGCACTGAGTACAACACGCGATGAACACATGGGCATTCGCCGCCTGGCAGATGATGTTTCCTTCATTCGTCTGCTGGGTTCCACAACCCGTGATCGTGTTCCCTAAACGCTACCAGCCACCGAAACCTATATTACCAGTGATTTGGGAACGTAGACATAACCTAGTTTAATTGATGTTATGACTGCAGGTGGCAAACGGCCATTCTGTCCACACCTAACTTGTCAAAATTTCGCGGCTACTAGCTAACGGGAACAGAGAGGTGTGAGCGAGGCTATCGCGTGCCACCTGCCAAATATTGGGGTCGACGGCACGTGGGAGCCTAGCTCGGCACGAGCCTGATGACAACAAAGCGGCATGGCTTTCATGTAGCTTGCCCGTGCATGACGGCTATCTTGCCCCGATGTCTGCTTATTGTTTATTTACTACTGGTCGTCTGTACCTGGATATCGTAAAGTGACATTTAAATGCATTTAAGAATCTTTTCAAATTTACAGGTGGGCCATAAATCTAGAATCTGATAAAGTCCGTCCAGTATATATATCTATATGATTACTCAAAATTCGGATACAGGCCTACATCATCTCGTTGTATCCAAATTGTAATTTGACCTGTTATTTGAAAGCGCCAGCTGTTCACACCTCACATGATCATGCGTGGTCTGTCATTGTAATAGTGACTATTTTGTATGCGGTTTTGTAGCCTTTGAAATATGTAAGCTTCAACCCAACCTAGAATACATTTAAAGTATTTGTTGAAGGATTCCTGTGTGAAATCAGTGTTATTTGCTAAGTATGCAACTGCTGTCTTTATGATACTGCTTTGTGTCAGTCTTGTACAGAACAGTATATTTATGTACCATATTTATCTTTTTTTATAAATGTTTCCATTTTAACGTTTCTGTTAAGAGGCATCATAAGATAAAGGATTTTAAAAATTAGAATGAATAAGGAGTGGCCAGGAGACACCAGTTATTTTAAAAATGACAGGGTTATTCATACTTTGGCAGCCCAAATTGATAAAAAAAAATACCTGATCTTTTGTGAATATCAACAGTTTTACCTTCAACATTCAGACTCTGACATTAATGAACAAGAGTATGTCATTCTTGTGATATTACCATCAACAGTTTATGTATATGTTGAATGTATTTTGAATGTTGAATGTTATACCTGCAAGTAGTATGTATACACTTTATGGACGGAGTACACATGTCCAGCATGAGACTAAGTTCATGATAATGTCCATAATTCCTAAATAACATTAACGATGATGAAAGTGGTCCAATGTCTATGATGCAATCAGTGTGAGGAGGCTTCCTCTATCTGACCAACCGCTGCTCTTTGTCAAGCTTTACATATCATGTGAATATTCAAATATTACTGTAAACTGTTAACCAATAAAGTCAAAGTGGTAGAGCCCTTCTGTTCAAGTACCACAATCACTGACACCCAGAGAGACATTTGGCGTAGTCCCCCTCAACAGAAGCTGGCTTTATCTAGGAACAATTTGATTGGCTAGCAGCACATCAGTATTAATTTTCTCCCTCTCGAGCTGCTATTTATGTTGAGGTCAGGCAGTGAAGCCTGTCATTCATACAGTTGACTGCTACTGTGCACACAGCTAGTAGTCTTCTCGGACCTTTTTTCCCTTTTTGTTCTCTCAGTTATTTTAGGATATTCTCAATGCAGGTATGTACTTTTGTTGTTGCCTTCTGTTAAAGTCGATGTTTTTCTCTCCGTCTGCTTCAGTGGTGCTAAACCGTTAGCTTGCTATTGAATGTGAAATAGTGGCACAGCCGAGAACAAAGGACCTTGATCCATCTGCAATAATGGCACAAAACTGCAATCAATCTAGCTATCCTTTGTGTAACCCTTGTATGGTGAGTATGTGTAAGATAGAATCATATCACATTTGTTAGTTTGGTGTATTTGCCGCTGCTAACGAGCTGGCGAATCTGATTGTAACAAAGAAATGGAAGCAGTTTCACTGATGTAGAGACCATAAACAGCATTGATTTTTCTTCGGGGCTGGCATGATACAGTGTTGCCATGGATTGGCTTGATATTTCTGTTTAATGGTATCTTTAGACATGTCTATTTTGACTAATTAAATTGTCGATCTGACCCACAACGGTATTTGAGCCAGCCAAAAAATGCCATGCTGTTTTGAGGAGTGCTGTGTATGGGCTCTGTAAAAGAGGGTCATTCTTCTTTTCTTAAATGCTGCTAGTAAATGTATATAAAACTTGCCGTAATATCTAAGGAATTCGCTGTATTAAGATTGACAATTGTCCTGTAGTCAGGTTATAATGTATGTAATGTAGATCTCAAATTATTGGACTTTGTTTCATCCAAAATGTAAAAACCTGTTAAACACATAGTGTATGATATTTTGTTTTTCATGTTCAGCATGCGTAAAAATAAACTAATTGCATTAGTGCTTTGCATTAGTGGCAGGTCCTTTTTTAGTTCCTATATTTCCTACAGCTTTACCGAGAAAAAGAAATATTCACGAAAGGAATAATTTCATAAAGTGTGTATTTACTGATATTACAACCCAATCAGGCCAGAATGATCATAACATCATCAGAATGTAATTTTTGGTTTATTAGAAAGAACTAAAAAAAGAATATTTGTATCATGTTTTCAGATCACACTAGCTGACGGCCACAACATGATGGACCCACAATCCCAGGTTGGGGTGGCCGCCCATACACAAGTAACAAATGGTGGTACTACCTCACCCACAGATTCGCACTCGGATGATCTCAGTAAAACAAACTTGATTGTGAATTACTTGCCACAGACAATGACACAGGAGGATATACGATCGCTGTTTTCTAGTATTGGGGAGGTGGAGAGCTGCAAACTCATCAGGGACAAACCCACAGGTATGCATCACCTCCTTACAGCTATATGCAATTTTAGGCCCATTTCCAATATTTTAGGGTCTTGTGCATGTCCTTTGGGGTATACAGCCAGTAGTCTTCCCTCCCCCTCTGCTTGTTCCCACACCCCACTCCCCTTTGTGTAGTACACACACAATAAGCAGGGCACCAGCTGTCTCCATAACAATGTCGACTGGAGGCTAATTTAATAATAACTCATCGATTCAGTGTGGAATTTGCTGCAAGATTTGAATTTGTACCTGAAATTCGGCTTTTGAGGTATTCTTTTATGTACATAGTGGATCATTTGGGTGTTTTCCTTAATTGTGTAACTATCCAACTTTAAGAGTTCTCTGGTCTATTTGAGTCTTATTTGTATGGTACTTACAAAACAAAGTGCTCCTTGTTAGAAGTAGGCGAGGTGTGGAAAGTTTATCTGAAATCATTTCTAGCTCAGGAAATAATTGGGGTTACGAAATTAGTTTTTGAAGTTAAGAATAATGGTGATAGTAAATTACGTTTAGTCCTATTTAAGTTGGTCTGGGTATTTTGAAACCATGTGTTGATGATGGCTGAATTTGTCATGGTAGTATGAGTCAAACCAAATGGTATTGATTCAACAATTCCAGAACACATGTTCTGGTTATAGAATGGCCTCAGTAGTGAGGTCATGCTGTGAGGAGTTGTGTCAGGATGAATCAACAGCATACTATAGTAGATAAGCCATTACAAATTGATTTTGAGTCATCGCTTTGAGACAGGAATAAGTCACCAGATCTGTAGATTGTCACCAAGGTTATTGGTGCTCACAGAACACCGCTATGAATAATAAATTGGGCAGGAGTTATCAATAACAAAGAGCTGCTGTGGTATAGTGAGTCAGTTGATTATGGTAGCTCTCCTTGTGGTTCAGTGATTTCCTGCCAGGATTAATAGTGTACTTTAATTAAGGGTCGAGATCTGTTAGGAACAAGATAATAGCATTTGTATTGAGCTGCACATGATGGCTAATGAAATTAAGATGGAAACATATGCCACATTTAATTATTTTGTTGCCCATTACTCAGACAGGTGCATTTCAGAGTTCTAGTTGGTTCTCAGTATTGATTTTGGAATATGCAGCATTATATGGTAGAGAAGACTACTGTAAAGGCTCTGAAGCATGTGTAGTGGGAATACCATGTAGTTGACTCATTCTCAGAGAGCCTAAATAAAAACTCTCTGTTCCACTACTAAGAAAACAAGGAAATACAGGAACTGTAAGAAAACGTGCTCAGGATGACCCATATTTCCAGATAAACACATACAGCATTATTCAAACTCGCGCATGTGGAAGCACTTTGTAAGACCCTCTAAAATTGTCTATAGTGTTGTGTGATTTAGTCTCGGTGTACTAGATAAACTGGAGTTGAGGGGCGAACATGGAAGTGCCATCCGTGCTGATTGCAGGCAGCAGATGGGGCAGGGAACTTTGATAAGAGGTTTTCAAGATGGGACTTGGGATGTTAGTCTTAGAGTAGATCACCAGCGGGATATGCGATAGTTCAGATCTAGCTCCCTCGGCTTGTTTTTGCAGCGGAGTGCCAGTTGCCAAGCTTGCAGTAGGAGGGGAGCACATTTTCCTTCTGTTATCTATGTGCCTATGATGGAATCAGAAACTTGAGCAAAGTATCACATTTCTGTGTTGAACCATGCAATGAAATTTTGTTCTTTAAGAAAGTCTGAAGGGATAGGCTTGTGCACCTGAGTGTTGTTTCTTGTTCATTATGTGCTGGAATTAGACAATATTTTGACAACCTGTCATCATTCAACACTTTTTACTACCAAGTGAGATAAATTCAGAGTTTATTGTTGGTTACATGTTGCATATGTTACGTCAGAAAGTAAAATTAAATTTCAAACATTGAACTCAATTAATTTTATCTCCACTCATATTCTTAAACATTCAAAGAAATAATCTTTATTTGATCAAAGAAATTGAATTTAACTTATCATGAGTGTATGTAAATGACTACTTTTTGTTAGCTAGGATGTATTTGTCATGTTATGAAACCTTTATTTTCATTTTACTGATCCTGTAACCATCTCAAGTTTCCCCTTCAGGACAGAGTTTGGGGTACGGGTTTGTCAACTACAAGCGGATAGAGGATGCAGAGAAAGCCATCAACACACTGAACGGACTGCGGCTACAGAACAAAACCATAAAGGTACCAACACCTGCTTTTCTGCATCACATGGAATAAACATCGTTTTCAGTAAACCTTTCTTTTCAATTACTGCATAATTTTGTAACTGCATCATTTGAGTCTTAACTCTTGAGTTTGGTAATGGGACATTGCATCACCATTAGAATTGATTTTTAATTGAAACTTTTCTCTTATTTTTTCCAATCTTCCTGACAATTTGTTTTAAATAGAGCTCATGCAGGTTTTAATGAGTGACTGCATCATTCTTGTACTTATATGTATTAATAATGCCAAAACAACCCTCCAAGTCCAAAAAGGTCATGTGACTCCTGTCGGCACTCTACTAACTATATGTAGTAGTGTTAAGGTAATTTTAGTTAATTCATTTGATTTGTTGATTAATCCTTGTGCTCTGCACCGCCCACCTTCATCCACATCCAGCCTGGCTAGTCAGCTGAACCTGTCATGGGTTTGGTAGATGGCCTTTTGTTCAGATATTTATTACTGGCAAAAACACTTTTGCTTTTTTGTAAAGATGTAGCTGGCTTTGAACACAAATCAAAACATTTCATTTGTTGGATTGTGTATAACTTTTACACGACACATGAATATTTGAACACACACACAACCCAGTAACTGTTGCAGCCTTCATAGATATGCAATGTCATTTTTTTATGAAGATTATATTGACAAGATAGAAGAAAACTAATGTTTCATCTGGATCCAGGGACGTCATGACACATTTCACATTGTTGATAGACAGCTAGCTGAGGCTCAGTATCACCTATAAGAGACATGTAATTAACGTGGTGCTTATGCTGTCAATCACACTTTGATATGACAGACAATTTGCACATTTCATTCTGCTTCACACATTTCTGCCTTTTTGACCACATGCAAAGAAATAACAGACAGGTAAAAACAGTAGATGATTGAAAAGGAGGGGGAAATGGTGAGTATACCAGAAATTCTAGCAAGCTGTGAGACAGACTTCCTCGCCTAAAATAAAAGCTGGTAGGGAAATCAACAGAGAGGCTTACCAAATCTGCTATATTGGACAAAACATAGAAGAATTTCACTTCTTTGTTGAGGCTGACTGGGCAAGCAGTGGACTTGGGATGACTGTGGATGGTGTGGTGTGGAGGATTCCTTGTCTTCTGTTGCTAAATTGTCTCACTTCTACAGCTGCTCTGTTTTTCAGTTGTTTATGTTTAGTTCTGTTCTCGGCCGTTCTCTCCAACTTCTGTTCCCTGATTTCTTTCCTGTTGATTTCTCCATCACTGTTTTGTTTTGCATTTTAAGTCTCTTCGTTAACTTTCAGGTGTCGTATGCTCGACCAAGCTGTGAAAGTATTAAAGGAGCAAACCTTTACATTAGTGGCTTGCCAAAATCTATGACTCAGTTGGACTTGGAGAAACTGTTTTCTTCTTGTGGAAGTATCATAACTTCAAGAATACTATATGACCAAAACACAGGTACTCTATTTGGATTTATTTGATTTTGTCAATTTATTTACTTTGTTCAACAATTATTTGTAGGTATCATATGCAAGACCGAGTAGTGAAAGTATAAAGGGTGCTAACTTGTATATATGTGGCTTGCCCAAGTCTATGACACAACAGGATTTGGAGAAGTTGTTTTCACAGTGTGGAAAGATTATAACATCCAGAATTCTGTACGATAATACCACAGGTCAGAGTCTTTCTCATTAGTCTGTGTGCATGATGGGTCTGTCCGTCAGTCCAGCCTCCATACCGGGCAGTTCAACGTTCATTTCGTTTCCGTTGACCAATATTTCACTTCTGTTCTTATGTTATTTTGTTAAACATGGTTGGAATGCGTTGTTTTCCACTTGTTTCTGCTAGATCATCATTTTCCTACTAATCTGCATGATTTGATAACACATTTTACTTGTGCAAGATTTACCATTTCATCCGATATGATTTATCTACCTCAGCAGATTGTTCATCTTACATTGAGTACTGCATATGTTTCTGTATGCTTGATGTTCATTCAGCGTTGTATGTTTCCAATACAAGTGGCTTGTTGATCATATCTGCATGGATGTTGTTCAAGAAGTTTTGTCAATTGCTAGATATTTAGTGTGTTTTCCCACTTCTTAAGTTCCAATTTGAGATACAGGAAGTTAACTATCCACTACTCTAACATTCTCATTTCATTAAGATTTTGACAGTTTGGCTTGTTCAGTGTCCAAAGAAAGAAGTGACTAAGGTTATGAATTCATGTGAAAGCGTCAAAGGACTTCTAAAATCAATGAAGAATTATATCCACTTGTTTAAAGTTTATCTCTAGGTTAATTTTATTTAGTAATTTGAATACTTTGTTGTTTATTTTGGCAAGAAATGTTGAGTTTGTTGTTGTCTGTTTGTGAAATAATTTTTTCCAAGGCATGAAGGAGGAAAACTTAGTTGAAAATTTGGTTTTGTTTCTTTGGGTTTCTTGTCCTATTGAAATGGTCAGATCCTTCTAGACAGTTGTGAGGCAGTAATTTCCAGAAAATGTGTCATAGTTTTGGCAAAGAAATGCACATATCATTTATAAACTTGCCATGTCAGGTAATATTCAAAAAGTCAAAGTACACCCACCCTTACTTTACACTTGGTTAGTGCCTACATTTATATCAACATGTTTATTTTGTAACACTTGCCATATTTAGTTTGTTACATGTTTATAATTGTATATTTTTAAGTATATGTACATGAGTTGTTAAGTTACTTTCCACATTTAGTTGTCATTGTTTATTTGAATGTAATGATACAGTAGTGGTGTTTCCACTGTCAGTCTGCATTTACCAGTAACTTCCCAAGCCGATTGTTCAACTTGTTTGTACTCGATGGTGCTTGTATATATTATCAAAATGCTTGGTGTAGTTGAGATATGCTTACAAGAAATATAATCATTTGTCAAGCGTCAGCACAGTATTTATCAAATATTGCATTTTTAAATTTGATCAGCAATACTCTACATGTTTAGCCATGTACATAAATGTTAAAATTGAGCTTTAGGGTTAGTGTTTTCATGTAACAACAGAAGTTTAGACAAGACCTATACAAAGGAAAAGCATCTTTGATGTATTTCATGAGTTTCCTTTCTTTTGTAGGGATAATGGAGATTTATCTTGTTCAGATAGTAATATGATGCTACTTTACTATTTCAGGTTTATCCAAAGGGGTAGGGTTTATTCGGTTTGACCAGCGAGTGGAAGCTGAACGAGCAATCAACAAGCTGCATGGGCATATCCCAGAGGGGGCCACTGAAGGAATCACTGTCAAATTTGCAAACTCCCCAAGCTCCAACAAAAACATGACAACACTCACACCCTTAGCCCTAGCAGCTACCTACGTTTCCCCAACACGGAGGTACTATGGACCTATTCATCACCCCACAGCAGCTAGCAGATTGAGGTGCGTGAACACTGTAGAAACTCATCTAATTGGATATGCTAACATTAGCAATAATGAACCTATAGAGTTTCAGAAGCTTAATTGCAAATATGTTATAAATAAGCAAGTATAAATTGCAGTGTGTTCAGTTCTTTAGTGATTGGATGTGTAATGAATGTGTATGAATTGTAAGGCTCAACTCAAATTAAATTGGCTTTCTTTATTATATGTCACATGGCTATGTTGTAGCCTGTATTTTCATGGCACACTTCCTTTGAATAGATGTTTGTCTTCAAATCATGCAGACCTGATTATATATGTTGGATCTCTACCTTGCAGGTATTCCCCAATGGATTCAGGCTTGTTACCGAACACAATCCTTCAGACAGCATCGGCAACAACTAGTGCATCAGCTGGCGCTCTCAATGGCACAGGATGGTGTATTTTTGTGTATAACCTGGCGCCGGATACCGAGGACAGTGTTTTGTGGCAGTTGTTTGGACCATTCGGTGCAGTGCAAAGCGTCAAGGTTATTAAGGATTTCCAGACCCAGAAATGCAAAGGATTCGGATTTGTCACCATGACCAATTACGATGAATCCATGATGGCAATACAGAGCCTCAACGGCTTCAGTCTGGGAAATCGCGTACTGCAGGTGTCGTTCAAAACCAACAAATTCAAGGCGTAAGACACGCACGTCTGATCATCTAGTCACCCCATACATTTCTACAACAAAAATTGCGGACTTTCATTCGTCATGGGCAGACATGACATGAAGAACTTCGATTTGTTTATGACTGCCTATGAAAGGTAACATTCAGGAAATCCATGACGATAATTTGCATATATGGAGTCAAATTTTCCATTATCTATCAAACTGAATCGTGGGAGAATCTCCTAAGAAAACCACTTGTGTTCATTACTCTTTGTGCATAATTTATTTGACCCTTTTTTCGGTGTATATTGAGTTGTCTCTATTTAATATTTGTGTTGATATTAAAATAGCTTTTTGTGTCTTAGGAAGACTGGAAGAGCCAGATCTGTGAAAAATCATATCGCATAATTTATTATCGGTTTTTGAGAAATGTGCTTACAGTGCACGTAGCAAGCTCAAGTTTGAATTGTTTCAGTATTGTTCTACATGTTCCCTCAGTCCATTTATTTATTGCATTATTTATATTGGATCCACGGTTCTTTTGTGGGTTATATTAAATTTTGGTTTATTTGATTTTGTTGTGTCTGTTTTGTCTTGCATGAGCCTATACTTTGATAGGCCCATCCATTTTATTTTGTTACAAAGCGTGTTGTACTAATCCATTGTCTCCTAATTCCAATCCTTTCTGTCTCATGACAGTGTGAAAGTTTGGAACTAGACTGACAGAAAACTGAATGTATAATAACAACCACTCACCGAGTTCAGTGCACCCTTTTTGATGCCAATCATTCATAACTTTTGTTTGTCTGGACATTTGAGTTGGAATGGGAATGAGTTATTCGTTCCAGTTTAGTTTTATTTGAAGGCCAAGTTTTCTGATTTCCGTTCTCTTTATTTCTTTAATTTCTGCATGCATTTGAAGAATAACAATGCATGTGTGAATTAATTGGATATTTTCAATGTTGATAATGAAAATGAATTTGTTGGAGATATCCCATCTCATATATTTTACAATGTTAACTGTATGTATACTTTTCATAGGCATTTCAATTTTACGACCATACATGCTGACGTATCAGGTTTCGGATCTTCCACACTCAAAACTGTTGATCAATCTATTAAGATTAATTATTAATGAAGAGGTCACAATTTCATGTATATATTATATATATCCGATGCAATAGTCATGGCATCTTCATCAATTACCACAAAACATTTTTTAATTAAACTCATTTGTTTTGGTCATATTTGACTGAGACACTTTACACATTGTTGAATGTGTATGAAACATTCCGGAGAGAGAGAAAGACAGACTGTGGTATGCACATGCCCACATACATTGCATAATGTGTGATCATGCAGGATAGATACTTGTGTATATATTGAACAGCCTTCATGCTAAAATGTATAAACTGAGAAGGGAACAATCTGTATAAAAGGAGCAGTGCACAAATGTGATGATTGATTCTAATTCCAAGTTTATAAAAGTTTTTATACCTTTAAGAGAAACCATTGAATATATGTTTGGATCATTTATTGCTCTTTTTTGAAGGAGCGAACGTTTTGGCAGTCTTGTTGGAAACTGTTTATGACGTATAATTGTTCTATTTTATGGACAAACAGCAAATATTCTTTTACATAGACTTCCAAACTGATGTCTCCTTGTAGGCCCTGAGGCCCAATTATATATGCAATCCCTTTTACCCATTTTAATTGTTGGAGACTATCGAAAATAATAGTGGTCAGTGGAATTTGTTACATGTGTTTTTTGACAACTATGTGTGGCCAGAACTACACTGGCAAATCTTCTAGTCTTGTTGCTGATCTAGACCTATCATTATTCTTCTCCCAATTTACAGTTAAATCATGTGCCAACTATCCAACAGTGCTATATATGGTAGATTTTCTGTTCCATGTTCTCAAATCTGTGCTGTTCAAATTGCACATTTTACCAACTTATTTACCTGTAGTACAAGCAAGAGCAGACAAAAGTTATGCATGATTGTTTGTCCCGGATCAATTCTTATTTCACTATTTCAATTTTCAATTTGTCTTCAGTACCCAACTGAAGTTTGACAGGAACGTTGCTATATCTCCTTGTGTGAGTGTAGCTTTTTCCTGATAGATTTATTCAATTTATAGTTTCATCTTATTATAGATTTTATTGTATTCTTGAGAGTTTTCAATTTTCAAAGTTTTTCTTGTTCAGTGTTTTTTTCTTGTTTGAGAATTTTTTCTCTTGATTCATTCCATGAAATAATGACATGGGGTTAGACTTTGTTAGGATGGCTGTTTCCAAGGGTAACAATATAGTGTTGTTGGGTTACACAGTTGCAGAAGAATGTCCTACAAAGTCCCACCCAATGAGTTTAGAGTTTCAATTTCACCGTCTCTGTGTGCTTTAAAGCTTTGCGTTTGTATCACTTGTAGTAGATTGTCTCGTCCCCCAGTTGCTAAAATAATCAGTATCCACCAAATCAAAATGTGCTCTCTCTCCTCTCTCTACTTTCCAGCAGTATGTATTGTTGTACCCAAAGACAAGAAGCTCCGAGCTGTTGTCATTATTCGTAGTTTCAGTTGTATTGCAATATTTGTACTTTTACATGTGAAACTATTTACACAAATAAAAACTTGCAAGAAATTATACTCTCACATCATTTCTTATTTCTCCTGTCATTCAGCCTAGGTAAGACTTAATGACCCGCCCATCATCCTCATTCACCCAACACCAGCTTATGTAAGTTTGATGGAAAGCGTTACTCCAATAATTGCTTGTGTTACATACTCTGTTAATGTATGGATAGAGTAGACAGTGAATAAAGCCACATCATTCCTACATACTGAAGTGATCATGTGATGGCATTCAAACGGATTTGGGTGTTGGATCCCTACCAAAGAAAATCTTTGATTGTTTAAGTAGAATTTCCTTTCCTTCCATGACTTGGAAGTGATTACACTTTACTAATAGTTTCACATCAGTTTAATCTGATCCAGTGACCTCTCCCCATACTATGACTGCTTGGCTGTGTGACTGAAGACAGCATACTTACTAACCATCTAATATGACATTGAGGTAGTCTTAGACAGGGTGTGTTCATTCCGCAGCTTGGGCTAATGCCAGGATTTCTTAGCATTAACCAGATTAGTCCCTTGATGATTAAGCTACTTAGTTCTAAACAAATAAAGTATCTCTTGGACATCATGCTTTTACTACTGGGAATACTGTTTTGGTGAAATGCAATGATTCTGCTTGCAAAGCTGATCTGTTTATACTTGTATAAGCTGTGATTTTGAGAATGGTGTATGGCATTTCCATGTTGAATTGAGGAGGTGCTTGAAAGATACCGATTCAGAAGTATTAGTCCTGCATTCCTAGGTTCAACAAGATATTTAAACGCACACATTGGAAAATGTTTTCATAAGTGTTTCTTTTATAAATCAATCGGGTCTATGAAATCTTCAAACTGCAATCATAGCCATAAAAATGTTTACCTTTTTCTGAGACAACAATACTTGTTTTTGATCGATTACTGAACAGAGGTTATAGCTCGAGTAGTGTTCCCCTTTTACCTCATTGCAATGTATAGCAGACATTAAAATATACAAACAGTTGACTTCACAAATACTATTTATATGTACTTCTGTCTGAATTGTCTGGCCTTGTTAGAAACTAGGCGTCTACACTGTCAGGGTTCAGCTCTATGTGTAGTCAGTAAGAATCTGCTTGCTTGGCTTGCTGAACAAGCCAACCTAATTGTCTGGGAACACATGGTAAAGAGCACCAATTTGGTGGTGGTGTTTGTGGGTTAAAACCTGGGCTAGGCAGTGCCAGTGCCGTGCCACTGTCACACACCACCATCCTAGAAAAGGGGGATGATATCTATGAGCAACACTTAAACCTCCAAGGTGGATCATGTTGAAACCTACAGTAAAACCTAAATAAGAATATATATATATAATGATGAATCCATCAGTCCTGTGTGGAAGGAAATACTTCAGTGGAATATATATTTATTTATTATTTTTTCAGTTAGGCTTCTAATAAGCTCCAAATGTAGGTTCAATTTCACTAATTTCGGAAACGATATAGATGGTAATTATTTGTTTAAAGTCCCATTTATTATTGGTTCAGGGGCAACGTAAGCACATATACGAAGAGAGTGCCCAATGTTGTTTGTCCCAATAGCTGTAGGATAACCGTTAGGATATATATACCGTGTGCGTGATAGCCAACGTGGAACTAGTGAATATCGTGTTACATTTCGATTCACTAACGACTATACCGTGGTATACACATGGTTACTATTGGACACAGATCAAAGACGATGTATCCCGTGTATATACAACCATTCCCAATTACCATACAACCCAAGCCCACTCCAGTCCGTCAGGAATGGTCCCCCGAGATGCCGTGTCGACAGCACGGGAGTAGCTGACTTCAATGCAGGACTCCGTTAACCTAACGCCCGAGATACATTGAAAGTTGCCGAGTCTCCCGAGACCTCGCCAAGGATACTCTCACACCTCGAACGCGAGGCCATCACCCACAGGATTTACAAGTATGGAAAGATCACGATACAAATTGATAAGGAAAATTGGATTACCGCGGTGGCTATTTCCCCTCCAGACGGGAATCGTATAGCATCATCTAGAGCGGGTTCCGCTCTCACTGTGTAAAAGTGATTTTAAACAACTTACGTCTGCCTTCCCACCGACTTTGATAATTACACCTAATATTGTGTAAAGTATGTTCATAAAAGGTTTCGATTGATATAAATATTACATTAAAATTTAATCTAGATTTTATTCGTGAACTGTTTTACAAAACCCACCCACTGAGAAAAAAAATAAATATATAAATCTCAAACAATACTCTAATGTATTGCTACAAGTGCTCTGCGATTTTTATGGCGGGAGTTTCCACGCAAGTAATGAGCATATACAAGCAATAAGAGCATGCCACGCGGGCTACCCGAAGCAGCATCTGTGTTGGTATTCAGATCCTTTCAATGTCGGAAACAGCTGGCCACACAGAGAAAGAGAATGCATTATCTATATTGTTCCCAAGCCTGGGCACACGACTTGTTCGCGGGACGAGGTGACAGATGGTATAGAAAATATGACCCGACCCAGGCGCGCTTTGAGCGTCGTCCTCATTCACTGCGCATGCGTCCCTTGGGAGGCCTCTTTTAACCAATTGGAAGTTGTCCCAGAGAGCAGGTGCACCATCTCGAAAATCTTTTGTTGCAAAGATTGCAACAAAAATAGTGCTTACAAAACCGAGCCCCTGGGTGAGGCGGTACTCCTTCACCCATAACAAACATAGGATTTATTTTATATCTGCTTGATCCATCATGATAACATAATGACCACACGTCAATGTCACCTGCCAGAATTGTATGTATAACAGTGAGTAGTTGTTTTGAGGTGGTACAATGTTCCTCAAATCGGCATTAAACTGAAAAAGCGAATTATTGTGATCATTGTCGGTACGTGTATTTATAGACAACTAAAAACACAAAATTGGAAAGATGTTAACGATAAAACAACTGAAATTTAACGGGTTCAGAAATCGTTCAAGTTCTTGAAGTGTCCCCAATCATATAGAAACTAACTAACACTTAGTCAATGAAAACATGTCAATGAAAATATTTCTTTCTTTTTTTTCTTTTTTTTGAAAGAACATTTCCTCTTCTGCTGTTTGTGTTAAATCAAGCAAACTAGACTGTGTTAGTTAGATCTAGACTTGCCTTGGCTTTTAGTAATAAAAAAATACCTAAACAAATATAAATTCCACAGTCATGGTGCAGGACTAGCTGCATCAGTATTAGGTATCCCTGAATCATCAGCCATGCCAACACTATATATTAATTGCTGCTTGTTGCACTTTATGAGTGACGACAGTTTCAGAAATAGGTAAGACAATTTGCCGTTCTTTGAACAGCATCAACTGAGCACTAGTGTCACATTCGCTTATAGCCCACGTGTTATGTAACAATACAATCAAATCACGAAACACTTGTTCTCACAGTGATGATAGTATGGCTAACCTGAATAGGTTTTTATTAAACTATTTATAATTATGTTTAAGCACACTGGAAGTGGTTAGCGGTTCTCGAAACGCACTGTTGAAATAGATATATGACTATGATTATTCAGCTCACGTGTATATATGCATGCACCAAAGTAAAATGTCTTTCCTTCGTTTACGTATAGAAACTATTTCCACTGTAAGTGTCCCTTACGGGGGGACTATGCTCCATAATCAGGCGCCCATTTTCGGAGTAGGTCGAGACTCTGACAATGATACAGCTTGATATAATTAATTAAACTGCAGTTAAAAGAAAGAACAAATCGGGTTCTGAATGGCGAATAAACTCTACAAGGACTAAAAATAGACCCAAACAAGGTCTCCTCCAAGAACGAATCCGTCATATATACTCCAAAGAACCTCTCATCCTTCGTATTCCATTCTGACGCCTACTAGATCCCGAAAAAAGCTCTTAAATTCTACCTGTAATTGATATACATGTACATTGTAAGTCCAAATCAGAAACCATTCTCAGCTCCTTTACTCTTGTTCGCATCTTAAATTAAACTGACCAACCAACGGTATTTTCGAAATGTCAGAGGATGGTCGTTTTCCCACACAGTCAACGTTAATGCGTCCGTATTTTATATCTGACGTTGTTAATTACTCTACAAAGTTCGACCACGCTAGGGCTTCCGCTCGGCTTCAAATGAAGGTAATTAGGATCTCTGTGGAACACACATACCTACTATTGTAACCCCGACGCTAGTCCAAAACTCATGGCTTCCTCCATATATAGCAACTCAATATAAATAAACCAGACGGCGTGAGAGCAAATATGTGATAATTTGCTCCAAATATATGTCACTGCTTGATAATCGATTAGACTGCGTCTAACGGGTTGTAAGTTGTCTAGGCATAATAATCCATCGATTTTCGCGTCACAAGCTGATTATTTGACACGGTTTTTAATTGGAGTCCTTTTTGGTCGAATCTCATATGAAATTCGATCCAAAGAAGACACCTGTGCATGTATGTGTTTTTCAAATATTTAATAGTATTTCAATACTCAGCTTGACATGTTGTCTTTCAGAAAGAAAATTAAATCGTTAACGTTAGAGGATAATCAGCCTCGATTATCCACCGAAACAGATTGCATTTGGCGTTGAGGCAAATTAGTGGTGAAAATGATGAATGGATGACACCAGGTGTTCGCTAAAAGGGTAAGCATCTCATGTCCTACCGGTATCACCGCGAAACAAAGTAGTCAATAGCTAAAAGTAACAATGTTGAGATGTTATTAACGAAACGATTATCAGATAGTAACTACGTGGCAGATATTATCGTAAAAGGTGTACATGACTCGGGCCATTTTGCAGTCCCAGCCAGTTTCAGCCATGTCATTCAAAAGCCACTTTATTTATCTGCTCACATTTTGGGATGAATATCAAATAGCAGTTCATGATGACATATTTGGAAATAGACAATGTCACATGGCTCTAAATACACTTACTCTAAACTACACTAGTCATAGGCATAAGATCGCGGTGCATCGTCCACCTTTAACCAAATGTGATAATGACTGAGGGGACTTCCGGTCTCAAAAGACGTTAACAGACCATTGAGTACATATTGCTAAGATCAATATCAAGCCAGCAGAAGTTAAAAGGGTGTACTGACCACAATTACTTATTGTCTCCCACCCAATTTGAACCACAAACGATCTCATAAGAATCGGATCAGATAGGATGCCTTTCTCCCAGAAGGCCTGAGACACATCCATAGGAAGTCGTCATATAAACTTTCTAATCATCCAATCAGCATCGAGGGTTTCTCGGTACAAGTGAGCATTCAGACAACCATATCTGATTTCTGTATGTCGAAAAGGTATATAATCAGGGAGTTCCGAAGGCAAAAAACAAAAACAAAGCCGGGCTGTTAGATTGTTTGGGATATTTTATCTATCCTGTCGTTTCTGAGCGCTATGCCATCTATACCGCAAAGGGAGTTCTATCGAGGGTATATATATATGTGTGTGTTCTTTGGGGGATTGAAACAGAAACGTTTTAATAAGCTGACATCTGACTATCTCAAGAACGATGCATTCTTCATTTAGATTGGGCGGACATGGTTCGACCTGGGTTCACCTACCGCAGCCTGTTATTGAGGTGTTGTCAGATCTCCACACACAGATGTATGGGGGTAAAAGCTTTAATGAGATTGAGCCACAGACATCTAATATAAAACAGTAAACAAACCCTGTGTCAGTCCAGCAGCAGTGGTGCGCGAAAACTGTAAACCTAGAGAATGTCTTGGCTGTTGTACCACCAACTCGGATCAGTACGCGCAAAATGATTGAAGATTGGTCAGTTTTAGATACAATCATACATCCCACAGTGATTCGAATATGCTTCTAAATACCAATTTTCAAACAAAGGAGATGCAGACTTTGAACCGTACTCCAACCGGGTGCCCCATGCATATGCATTTCGACATCTGAACCGTTTGCGATGTATGGCTCGGCAGGTGTCCAAACTACAAGTGGGATGTTCCTGGCCGATTCTTCTTGATGTAGGTGAGGAAACGTTTACTACTGCTGCGCGTGTTACTCTCAAATGCAAAAACCTAGATATCTAATACGAAGATCATGTTCAAAGCATGACGTCCATTCACCTTCACCTTCAGTGATACGCATGCGCTGTCCATGTACAGACGTACTGTCACCCGACAGTCCCGACCAACTGTTGATCTTAAACACGGGCATACATGTGAACTGAATCCCATACATTGAATTTAATTAACCTTTTACTCGTACAAGTGATGCTTTTTATTCATAATCCGTCCTTGCTTCATCTACAGCTCTTCTGTAAGCGCCATATATACATGGATACCTAGTGTAAAGAAATGTTAACGTCAGACATATTATACGTGTGGATGATCACTGTTAAATGTTAAAATCTAGCCTCGGGATACAGATGCATCGAACGACCGAAAACCCCAGTTCTTGAACAACCCGATGGAACACACATTCGGGATTTTTTAAAGCGAAAAAAACTGAATAAATACCGTGTGAACTTTTCGATCGGTAGCCATTCCTCTGTGTTCCACGCCTTCTCCCAAGATCTGAGGGGTCACATAATGACTAGGCACTGCTATTTCGCATTTGTAGATCATTTTCTTTCTCAATTGTTCTGACATTTGATACGATACTACCAATTTCTAATCTGACCTTCCAAACAGCTCTTTTAATGACGTTCGAATACTCTTTAATCTCACCCATTAGCATTATGAAATTCTCTTTGACTACTTTCCCTCCACATTTGGTTTCCTAAAAAAGGAATCGCTTCCATTATGCCAATCTAAACATATATATCATGCGCTTAACATGCTGCAAAACAGATGCTCTCATACATATGAAAAAAGTTTTCGTAATCACATTGAGGTGTTGAAGCCGTCAGTAAATACAACCATTGGATGGTAGGCTTGATGGTTGAGACCAACTGTTATTACAGCTGGATAGGTAGAAATAGCAATGTTAAGTGATGCCATCCTTTGGTGGAACTTCGGGTTCTTTACTTGCATGCTACAGATACATAGCATGCCCTTGATACTGTGTAACGGATCAGTTTGATAGGATTACACTCTTCTGTGCCAGTGCTCCTAGAGACCTTTTGACAATCACATCGGAAGGCGTCGTGAAGTTCGTTGATCTGTACATGTAACGAGAGCGAAGTGAATAGGTCGCAAGTCTGACCTCAGCCATTAGCTGGAAAGAACAATGAGCACCATTGGTAACCTTGACCTATAAAGCAGTGTCATACTCCAGACTATCTAGAAGAAAATGATCTTTTTTTTTAAGTCGTGGCCTTGGCATCTGTGTTTCTGGGACATTGGGTGTCTTCGGAAAGGTTTATTGCCATGTGTTAATGAGACTGAACGATGCGAGTATAGTGTATTTGTATAGTACATAGTTCAACAGAAGCAGAGTTGCATTGTCGACTCGAGTCCTACTTCTTGGTATGTCAGCAGCATGTCCGTGCTCATCATGAATACCTAACGTCTCCGACACTGGTTTTCTGGTAACATAATGCTGATGTGCCGTGTTATGTAAAAGGAAGAGTTTTGTGTTTCTGAACATCGCAGCTGGGCATTGCACAGGAATGGAATATATGGATATCACACTGAAACAGAATGGATGGATATCACACTGGAACAGAATGTATGATATCACACTGAAACAGAATAGATGGATATCACTCTGGACCAGAATGTATGATATCACACTGAAACAGAATAGATGGATATGACACTAGAACAGAATAGATGGATATCACACAGGAACAGAATAGAGATGGATATCACACTTGAACAGAATAGATGGATATCACACTTGAACAGAATAGATGGATATCACACTGGAACATAATGTATGATATCACACTGGAACAGAATAGATGGATATCACACTGGAACAGAATAGAGATGGATATCACACTGAAACAGAATAGATGGATATGACACTAGAACAGAATAGATGGATATCACACTGGAACAGAATAGAGATGGATATCACACTTGAACAGAATAGATGGATATCACACTTGAACAGAATAGATGGATATCACACTGGAACATAATGTATGATATCACACTGGAACAGAATAGATGGATATCACACTTGAACAGAATAGATGGATATCACACTGGTACATAATGTATGAATATCACACTGGAACAGTGAACAGAATATCACACTGGAACAGAATAGATGGATATCACACTGAAACAGAATAAATAGATATCACACTGGTACATAATGTAAGATGTCACACTGGAACAGAATAGATAGATATCACACTAGATGAAATAAATGGATATCACACTGGAACAGAATAGATGGATATCACACTTGAACAGAATAGATGGATATCACACTGTAAAATAATGTATGAATATCACACTGGAACAGTGAACAGAATATCACACTTGAACAGAATAGATGGATATCACACTGGAACAGAATAAATAGATATCACACTGGAACATAATGTATGATATCACACTGGAACAGAATAGATGGATATCACACTGGAACAGAATAGATGGATATCACACTGGAACAGAATAGATGGATATCACACTGTAAAATAATGTATGAATATCACACTGGAACAGTGAACAGAATATCACACTGGAACAGAATAGATGGATATCACACTGGAACAGAATAAATAGATATCACACTGGTACATAATGTAAGATGTCACACTGAAACGGAATAGATAGATATCACACTAGATGAAATAAATGGATATCACACCGGAACAGAATAGATGGATAACGCACTGTAACAGAATAGATGAATATCTCACTGGAACATCATGTATGAATATCACACTGGAACAGAATAGATGGATATCATACGTGAACATAATGTATGTATATCACACTGTAACATAATGTATGAATATCACAATGGAACAGTGAACAGAATATCACACTGGAACAGAATAGATGGATATCACACTGGAACAGAATAAATAGATATCACACTGGAACATAATGTAAGATGTCACACTGGAACAGAATAGATAGATATCACACTAGATGAAATAGATGGATATCACACTTGAACAGAATAGATGGATAACGCACTGTAACAGAATAGATGAATATCTCACTGGAACATCATGTATGAATATCACACTGGAACAGAATAGATGGATATCATACGTGAACATAATGTATGTATATCACACTGTAACATAATGTATGAATATCACAATGGAACAGTGAACAGAATATCACACTGGAACAGAATAGATGGATATCACACTGGAACAGAATAAATAGATATCACACTGGAACATAATGTAAGATGTCACACTGGAACAGAATAGATAGATATCACACTAGATGAAATAGATGGATATCACACTGGAACAGAATAAATAGATATCACACTGGAACATAATGTAAGATGTCACACTGGAACAGAATAGATGGATATCACACTGGAACAGAATAGATAGATATCACACTAGATGAAATAGATGGATATCACACTGGAACAGAATAGATGGATATTACACAAGAACATAATGTATGAACGTCGCACTGGAACAGAATGTATGATGTCACACTGGAACAGAGTAGATGGATATCACACTGGAACAGAATAGATGGATATTACACTGGAACATAATGTATGATGTCACACTGGAACAGAATAGATGGATATTACACTAGAACATAATGTATGAATGTCGCACTGGAACAGAATGTATGTTGTCACACTGGAACAGAATAGATGGATATCACACTGAACCAGGATAAATGGATATCACACTGGAACAGATTAGATGGATATTACACTGGAACAGAATAGATGAATATCACACTGGTACATAATGTATGATGTCACACTGGAACAGAAAAGATGGATATCACACTGGAACAGAATAGATGGATATCACACTGGAAAAGAATAGATGGATATCACACTGGTACATAATGTATGATGTCACACTGGAACAGAATAGATGGATATCACACTGGAACAGAATAGATGGATATCACACTGGAAAAGAATAGATGGATATCACACTGGTACATAATGTATGATGTCACACTGGAACAGAATAGATGGATATCACACTGGAACAGAATAGATGGATATCACACTGGAAAAGAATAGATGGATATCACACTGGAACAGAATAGATGGATATCACTATGGAACAGAATGTATGATGTCACACTTGAACAGAATAGATGGATATCACACTGGAACAGAATAGATGGATATCACACTGGAACAGTGAACAGAATATCACACTGGAACAGTCTAATTGGATATTACACTAGAACACAATGGATGGATATCACACTGGAACAAAATAGATGGATGTCATACTGGAACAGAATATGTTTGTGTTTTTGCGAATATAGAGAGTTTTAGAGAAATCTCACCGTCAACAGACCATCAGAACAGAATAATAATAACCGAAAACATTCCTTTTGCGAGGCGACGAAAGACTACTGCTTTGCTGGTTTATGTATTATGATTAAATCTGTATATTTACGATCCATAATTGATGATTGTAATTTATACACCAACACATTTATAGATACTGAGAGGTATTCATGCTGAGAAAACGGATCTTATCACCGAGCAATTACACTGAAGAGTACATGGGTTCATTGGGAACACACGAGGAAGCCTCCACCACGTGTGTCTAGCGGTAATGAATGCGTCCACCACCCATCTGTGACCAGCCCTACAGAAGGGAGACCAGATGACGTTGATTCTGCTGTGATATATTGAAGCTACCGCATTGAAAAGACCTCAAGGATATCATGACTGTTCAAGCCATCTGGTGACAGATTTATATTGCACAATTTATGGGCTTCCATCCTCGACCCTCAACTTTAGTACAGCATGACAAAGATTGTAAGTCTTGCTGGGGGCATATCAGAAAGCTTAGTAAAGGATACGATCTCGATTGTAGGCTAATCCGTTGATTAATGCACAGCGAAAACATTAAGTTCGCGACATTCTGTTGCATTATCTCTTGTAAGCGACAGGTTGCGACTCAGGGACGATAAAGATGTCAGGGACCCGGGAATAACGGTTTTGCGGCAACACTCATTTGATTCTAAGCTGGGTATTTCGATAACCCTGCAAGAGAGAAGAGGGATGGGTCGGGATAAGCTCCGGATTACACGATTTACTCAGCACTCATCGACATGGGCAGCGACAGGCTGTCCGGAGCCAACAATGGCCGTAAGGCGATCAGTCTTTCTCGCCATGATCCGCGTTGCAACATCTTGCCGTCTGTTTGGCATCTGTTTCCCGTTGGATAAGTGTCTCTTCGAGTAATTTCAGTGAAATGGTCATGATTTTAGGTATGCAACCTCTCTGACGATAATTCCTTATATCCAGCGTTTGCGTCGTCTGAAGTCTGGCGGTAGGACGGAAGAGACATTCGTTACAGGATATCGGTACTGCTCAGGTGTACTTCATATCTCTGCGGGGATTGGCAGGGAGCCATTAGAATAAATACTATAGTTACGCTGGCTTTGCTATTATGGTCAATTGTTCCTAATACAAAGAGACAGAATGCGTTAGCAAACAATTAATACACGCTAGACAAACAGGCAATGTTAATCAATCACACCAGGTTTTCTCCCTCCGTAGTTTCTCAGGGTGTGGGCGCTATGCACAACGTCGTTCGCATGCACTTAGCTGGAATTTGAATGACTGCTGAAACTGGCACTGCTGCTGGAATGCGCTGCGACTGCCTACAGAACTTAATTGCAATAACACATTATTTTGTCCCATCGCTGCTGATTTACGAATGTAGGTATGTTAATTTGATGTTTAACACCACACTCATCTTTATTCCAGCTATGCCTGTATATAATTGCGTCTTTGGAATACAAACCAGTGACTGACATCATGAGCAACGACTCACGCCGCCAGGTTACGACAACAGGCAATTTGCTAAGACGCTGAGCCTGACAAAACGAGCAATTTAGTCGCCTTGTACTACTATGAACTAGTCTAACCCAAATCACTAATGGGTCATCATCTAGGCGACAGCTCCCAAAATAACTGTCCAAAAAATGTTCATGTTATATATTGACTGAATCTGTCCATAAATATTTTGCACTCTGATGATGTCCCATACAGGTGCCG